ATTTCATTTCAAAATTATGAAACACTTTATTTTTTTTATAAAATTGATAGATTTTAAAATTAAAAATAAATTCATATAAATATATTTCACATACTACCAAATTGCAATGATAATGAAGAAAGAGAACGTTAATTGAATGTGAACTGAAGCATATTCCCATCGAAACCGTGAAGCGAATCCAATCCGCAGAAAAAAAAGTAAAACAGAGCAAAGATCACGTCCAATGTAAACTCCAATAAGCAAGTGGAACTCGATTAAATAATCTTTCGGAAACATAAACGAATCGATGATGACCTGCCTGTAAGCCTTAGTTAAAAATCGTGGATTACAGAATTAAATTGGAGAAGATAAGTGATACACGGCAAGGAATCACGTCGCGTTTCCTTTCGTTTCCAATCAAGTGGATCCATAATAAAAACCGATTAAAATTTTCCTGTTCGTTTAGTAATTGTCGTTTAATAATTCCATGCACACGAAATATACAGAGGATTGAGGATGTAAGTTGGAGTATGAAGGATAGAGAGGATGAAGAAGGATAGAGGATGACTACCTACCACCAAGATAGGCTATATAGTCAGTTATCCGGTTGCGTGGACGCCGGAGACCGCACATCATCGTTATTATCCCACGAGTAAATCAATTCTTTACACGACATCCGGTCGTCGCGGTTCACCTTGGCGCTTCTTTCTCTTACTTCTTGTACAAACACACCAGCGACGGATGAATGGTAGGAAGCAAAGAAAACGGAGAAGAATAGTAATAAGAAGCAGAAAGTGCACGAGAGAAAGAGAAATAGAGAACGAAACGATAAACAAAAAACAAATAATCCGGTTTGAGATTAAGCTCACCTTTGTGTAAGTAGGATACAGTACGTCAAAACCTCTATTTGCTTTCTTCTTCTCATTATTCTTCTAGTTATTTTCTTAATAGCACTTACAAATTGCAATTCATATTATACTCGAAATAAAAAGCAAATTCTATTTTTAATTAATAGGGTCTGAATGGAAAGATCATTGAATTGCAAACTATTTATTTTTATATAACGAGACTTCCATAACACACTAAGAATATAGTTATCACTTTTCTTGTATAACTCGATTATCACAATAGTCTTTCCAAACTTGTTATTTATGTTTATTATCCGTGTTATACGCGATTTCATAAATTGCGTATTAATCGTGACTATATTTTTTTCTTCTCCGAAATTTTGAATTAAAAGAAAATGTATATTTATTTGTACATTTTTTTTCATTAACTTAAATTAAAGTTAATCGATTACTTCATTTTCCTAACAATAAGTAAGAATTAGGATAATCTAAAAAATAATGGTTCCTAGATATTTGTTAATCTGACGTATATTTGTATAAAAGGCTGTTCAAAAATTATAAAATTCCACATGTTTGAAAATTGTTTTTAGATTCCAACATGTTACAACAAGATATATCAGATGTGTCGCTTTCAAACGGTTTTATAATTCATTGATACCGTTTTTAATTGTTTCAAGTGATCCATGTAGAGTTAAATGTTTTCGCGTTAATATTATTTGTTTTACAACAAACATTCATATTTCAAATTAAATTCAAAGACAGATAATATATGTTTTCATGTATTAATTATTTTGCCATAGATAATCAAAAGGTAAAATCCATACTATGTTTATAACAAATAACTGGCTCTTACCAGATTATATTTACATATTAACACTATTACTATAATTAATAAAATTACCAAAATAAAATATATAACTACTGCAATGGGCTATTGACCATTGGTCTTTATGTCTTAATTATATATTTTTTTCAAAACATTGAATGAGATTCCAAATGTTGAGATTCCAATTAGATTTTTTCTTATAGAACTAAGTATAAATAATTAAATGTTTTCTAAAAATAGCATAAAATTTAGAATTTGTTCTAACCTTTCGTTACCTGAACATAATTAATAATTACAAATTTTTCTTTGGATTTCTTTTAAAACACATTGAAATTAAGTTGCCTACAAATGTTTATTAAATTTTAGCAATATTTTCAATCAAATTGTGTTTTTTTTAAATAACTAATTTGATATTAGGATATTTAATTTAATGTAATTTATGACATAATAGCGCGTGCGCCATTCTATGTAAATACAATAATTATAGTTCTTATCTGATTTCAAATTACAAAATATTTCCTTAACTCGTGCGGATATACTTCATTAAAACTTGTATAAATAAACTAGTTTTCATTATCGTGTTTCTTTGTTAAATTGTTGAATTCAAAATAATTAAAACGTTAAAAGATCGTCTATATTTATTTTCGATTTATTCGAATTGTTTACATTTCTAAATATGTAAGTCAATTTATTTTTTCATACTTTAAATCTATAATTATTTAAATTCAATGGTTGATGGAATTAATATTACTTATTCATAAAAAAAAGATAATTAGAGCGTTGTAAGATCGATTTGTTATTCTGTCTGGAGGATGACGCATCCCACGTCCGCGTCTCTGCAATGGACAATGGCATCGTATGGAAATGCTTCGAGGAAAATAAAACCACACGCATCCTCCACCTTTCCTGTCGTCCTCTCTCACTCCATTCAACAACAACACGAAGAAGAAGCATATTTATATTCTTTTCGTGGAGATAAATAAATGCATGCTCGGTCCTCCGACATTCCATGGAGCGCACCTTATAAATATTAATGTTCTTAAGGATTTCTTATTTTTATTTTCATTTCGAACCACATGCACCGGATATGTCCGAGAGTCAAAGACCCGAGGATTACAATCATCGTCGTCGTCATCGTCATTGCTTTTCCCTTCGCATGCATTTTTGTTGATCGCATAATGGATTCGAACCATTCAAGGATTACTTACTCCAACTAGTTTCTTTCTTTAGTTCGTTCGGACGTGTCGGTCGTAGTAGTATGAAAATGTGCATTCGTGGAAAGCTTGTTGTAAAAATAGTAAAGGTTCCGCGAACCTGCACATTGTTGCCGCTCCCGACAAAATTACCTGAATGGGTCGACAAAGAGTGTCACCATAGTGGGAATAAATTGGTATGACCGGGAGAGTTGTAAACATTCAATGCGAGAGGACAGAATTGCTTTAAGGCCCACACATTGTGCATTGCAACACTCTTTCTCTCACTCTCTGTATGTGTAAGTATACGTACGGAACGAAGAATACAGCAATGCACACTTGCCGCGTTTCTGTAAGAGAAGTCCCATGTTCGTTCTCTCATTTTTTTCCCGGAATCGACGAAAACTATTTACATTATTTCTTTTCGTCTCAACATTTACTATATATCTCTCTGTGTATATGCATATTATAAATGTATTTTTTTTCTTCTTTTCGTCCTCGAGGTCCTTATTACTTAACTCTAAACACGCGCCCCGTGCATGCTTATGTAATGCGAAGGGGGGAAAGGGCCCTGGCGTGCGGCGGCATCGGAATATGTTAAAAATATGAGCCCTTTCCACCTTTTTCTACACGCTCGGCACGTTCTCGACGCCGACAGAAAAAAAACCTAATACCTTGTACTCCTATTTTACGTGGACTTTCCTACACTCCATCTTCTTACGTAACTATATTTATGCATATATATAGTTAGACTTGAATAGCGTGTAACGAAAATGTATCTCTAAGCAGACAACAATTTCTGAACTATTCTTCACAGCACAAAATCTACTAAACCACACTTTAAATTCATAAGCTGCCTAAATTAATTCCATTAACATTGCAAGAATCCAATTAGAATACAACTTTCAATTAATTACTTATCCGCTAATAATCTTTCAATTGTTTACCACCTAAAACAGTATAATTTAGATATTGTAAATGATAACTTAAATTCTGACAATATCCCGCACTTTTCCAAACCGGACTAATCGAGGACTTTAAACCATTTATTTTGCTTCATTAAAAGTTTGAGTTTGTTTTAAAATTAGTGAATCCAGATTGATTGAATCCGCATAATGCGACATATTGCTGATAAATGTTTTGTTAATACACATTATAATTATTAATCTAATAATTATTAATCATAATCGATTATTCATTATTTACAACACATTACAATTCATTGTAATTACATTTCATCTTACATTTTAAATCCATTTTTAGTAATTCAATTTGATGGAATCGATATTACTACTAACACATATTTACATGAAAGTACATTAACAATTTATATTGAAAACATGCGGTAATGCAAGTTTTATTTTACATTAAGATTAAAAATAACATCTCGATTAATTAATTCCTTTTCGATAATAAAAATAGTTCAAATTGGAACTCGTGGAAACAAAAATAAATACACATTAATTTAATTATTTATAAATTCTAAAAAATGTAACATTTTTTTCAATTTTTAGTTTCAGAAAAACTTTCATTCAAAATGCACCAAATTTCAAATTTATCTTTAAATATATGCAAATGAAAGTGGTTGTTTTGTTTAAGTCATGTTATTTTAATCGAACATTCGTATAATTATTGCATTATATAAACTTAATGATTATTTATTAGTTAATACATAAATAATTTATATTCATACAATTCATGAATTATCAGTATATTCAAATATGAAAATTAAATAGGTAAGGAAAACAAATAGGAATGTTTTATTCCTGCGGAACGATTGCATGAATATACAATACGTCTCTCTGATGCCGAGGAGACAAATTAAACAGCAAAACTCAGAGGGAACATAAAGCTCTCAAACGGCGGAAAAATTGTTTGCCCTCTTTCTTGCATTACGTTCGTCGAAACCCGCTTACGTCCGTGTATTATTATTATTAATATCTCTGTTGTCTGCTGGAGCAGAGAAGAAAGGAAGCTCGCAATCAGAACTGTGCAAATATGGATATAGAATTAGCGCGAGAAGAATGCAATAATAAAAATGTAGTGGTGGTTTGTTTTGGGGAGGAGGAGAAGAGCAAAAATCAGTACGGTGATGCGGTGGTTACTTCTGAACCAGTGCGCAACGGCGCGGCCTAGGTTTTAGGTTTGATGTTGTAGGTGGAGAAAGAGGAGGAGGACGAAGAGAAGGCGGAGGAAGAAGAGAAGGAAGGTTGTTCGGCGCAGGCGACGTTAGGGGTGGCGAGGCTCGCACCAGTCTCTTCAGCTGCGCTCTCACAGTCCGCCAGCACAGTTCGCGTTAGAGCGACGTTGCACGAGAACGCGTTCCGCAAATTTACAGCGCGCTTTGGATTACAGCTAACTCTTTAAATTGCAGTTAGTTAATTATAAATAGTTAGTGAGTGTGTACATGTATGTTTACAATTAAGTGTGCGTTGGATTATTATGGATTATGCGAAACTGTAGCCCGAATTAAACTCATAAAGTTCTTTTTAGTTACTCTTTCTTTGGATTTTTTTTTTCATTTTTGAATTGTGCTCAAGAAAGTTCGGTTTGGTTCGCGATGGAGAAGTACACTCGCGCGGTCATTTTCTTGGTGGTAACTTTGATGCTTCTCGTGTTGGATGCGTGTGGTGGCATTGGAGGACAGTGTCCGTCAGTCTGCAGCTGCAAGTGGAAAGGAGGAAAGCAGTCGGTGGAGTGCACGGATCGTGCATTGATTACCATCCCCGAGAGCGTCGATGCAGCCACCCAGGTGCTCGATTTGAGCGGAAACAACCTGCAGATCCTCCCCAGAGAGACGTTCTTGAGGGCAGGGCTACTCAATTTGCAGCGCGTCTTCCTCAGGAGCTGCAGAATCGGACAGATCGACGATTTGGCTTTCCGCGGTTTAACAAATCTCATCGATCTGGATTTATCCTTCAATCTGCTCACAGCTATACCTTCGGGCACTTTCCAGGATGTGCCGCTACTGAGAGACCTGGTGCTCTCGAACAATCCCATTCAGAAGGTGGACAGCCACGCTTTTCGCACGGTTCCCAATCTGGTTAAACTGGATTTATCAAATTGCGAGCTACAGATGATCGCGCCTAAAGCGTTTGAAGGCATCGAAGTTTTGGGATCCCTCAAACTGAATGGAAACCGTCTCACCGAGCTGAGACCCAAGACCGTGGAGACTTTGAGCAGATTGCAAGGTATCGAGCTGCACGACAACCCTTGGCATTGCGATTGTCGTTTGAGACCTGTTAAAGAGTGGTTGACGCACAGGAATATCCCATATCCGGTGGCGCCAGTCTGCAGCGGTGGGCCCGAACGCGTCATCCACAAGACTTTCGGAGAGCTTCATGTCGACGATTTCGCCTGCAAACCAGAAATTCTTCCAGTTAGTCGCTTCATTGAGGCGACGGCAGGAGACAACGCCACCATCACCTGCAGGGCAAGCGCCGTGCCTTCAGCTCACATCAACTGGTACTGGAATGGAAGACTCCTGCTCAACAATTCAGCCTTCAGCACTCATCAGAAGATCTACATCTATGATGAGGGACATTTCGAGAAACGTAGCAATTTGGTCCTTACCAACGCCATGGAAACGGATTCCAGCGAGTTCTACTGCGTTGCCGAGAACAGGGCTGGCAACGCCGAAGCCAATTTCACCCTTCGTGTTTCCATGAGGACCGCCGGTATGGTAACACTTGGAAGCGGACAAATCGCCGGGTTGAGCGCAGCTTTGGTCATACTTATACTCTTCATCCTTTTGGTCATACTAGTCCTTCTGGTGAGGCTGAGGAGGATGCCGTTCTCCGAAAGTAAAACTCCTGGACAAATCGAGGTCGTCACTGTAGTCAATGGTGGAGCCATCCCCAACGGAAAATCCGCTACCATTTCACCCGTAAACGAGACTTCATCGTTCACAGAAAGAAAGCTGCCGCAAGATTTAAACTTCTGCAACCCGGTGCAAAAACCGCCGAGGATGAACGAAATCCCGTACACGACTACACATTACAACGGAAACGGTAGCATAATGAATCCGGGCTCATGCTTTGTCTCTCCATCCTCTGGATCCGGAAACAACCCCGATTTGATAAACGATACGAAGATGCTGGGTAGCGGCGATTTGGGACCCGTCAACCTAGAGGAAACCTTCATGATTGAAGCCATTGAGAGGCCTGGAAGCGGAGATTATAGTCGCAATGCCGACTCTTTGTATCCTTCTGGATTATGGGAGAACGGTCCAGATTCCGTTGCTAGACATTTGGGTGCAGCCACCAATCCTGGATTCCATTATGACGATAAAACACCGATCGTCGGCTCCGACGAAGAATTAAACTTTGCGGCGAGATCAACCACGAGCTACCCACCTGACTACGGCCTCCCAATCGCCGAGTCCAAATCCGACGTATCCTCAACATCGGCCTCCCAGATCATCCTCCCAACGAACGCGAAGACCCTTCGAGTATGGCAAAAGGGTGCAGTCCCCGTTCTACCACCCGTCACCGCCCTTAAAAGGGCCCTCAGCCACAGCCGCAGTTCCCCGGACGAAGGTTACCAAGAGGGCTGCGGCACGGACGTATAAAGAACACCAATAGCAGCAGCAAAAACAAAAAGAAAAGAAAGGATACCAAAGACTCGAAAAGTTCCTAGATTCTCGGACGCGAACAGAGACCGGTCCCGGTTTTGCTCAAAACGTGAGTCGAAAGGATACAATTTTAATAAGAATAATTTAAAACAAAAGTAATCATAAAATTTCAACAAAAAAAAACAAATACGTGTGATAAGTAAAATTATTTAAAAACATATACTAAGTGAGAGATTAAGACAACTCTGTACATATTGTGAATACGAAATATATTATATATATTATACATATAAACAAAAAAAATAAATAAATAGCCGTAGGGGACGCTGTATACATCCGATTGTAAATTAACACACAAAAAAAGACTGAGGAAGAAGTAGGTAAATAATAAAAAAAAAAGGTAACTTACTCAAACGGTCTTGACTGCCGGATCAAATTTAATTTTCAACGTAATCAAGGGAGAGATTTAAATTCGTTTACGGCAGTTAACTCCAGTTAAATAAAAAAAGGGTAAAATATTATTCAAATTATATAAGTACATATTTTTTTCTCTTTCTATATATCTCTCTTACTCTATATATAAATACATAACTAAATACATATACGAATGGAAGAAGAAAGAATAAAAATAATTTATACCCTCAATTTGTAAATTACCCGAGAGAACAAACAATAACAATACACGATAAATAAACATACCCAATACACAAAACACACACATAATAATTACAATAATTAATTAATACGAAATAAGTTATTTATTTTTATATTTATTAGAACTGTATCTAGATTTGTAAAAAAAAACAACTATAAACATACTAACGAAAACGAGTGGAAACATTCGAAGAAGAAAAAAGACTCTTGAATAAATCGGTGCGCATCTGATTCAATTAAACTAAAAAATAATAATTAATTAATAATAAAATCAGATGTGAGTATGAAAATGTATGTAAAAACAAACTAATAATATGTTATATAAATTAAATTTAAAAGAAAAAAAACTACTTATCCAGTATTCTTAATGTTACCAAAAAAAATTATACGAAAAATAAAAATCTGTATATAAATGTGAAGAAGCTGTGGAATTTTGTTTCATTCCCAAAAAGAAAAATCCGTCCATTCATCCCCTGCCATTAACGAGACTTTTGTGGAGTCCGAAAAGTGCACGTATCCACTCTCCATCCCGATATTTATTACGTGAGCAGTTGAAAAGGTTCATTGTTGTGCTGCAGGTAAGTCGTCAGCTAACCTGGGATAATATTCTTTGCAACAGGAATTCCATCCAGAAGAACGACACTAGGGGGGCAATAAAACATAGAGAGTTAAAAAAACAACTTTTTCGTCGAATGGAAGAACGAAAAGAAAACTCTCACCAAAACGTAAACAATTGCATTGTTTAATTCTACTTTAAAGTCTATTTATTATATATTGTTATAATATTCTATTCTTTTATTTTCATACCATTCTAGTTTGTTTATTGTTGTGTTTCCATTGATTCGCTAATTAAATGCACTAACATTTATATTACTTTGGAATTTTCTCTCTCTCTCATTCACAAAATATAAACAGCCTGCAGTTAATTTTGTGCTTTCACAAAACAAAAGTCGCGTATAATTGAAAATGTTTTTTGGAGCAAAAGGAAACACTTTAATTAAATATAATCTGCTTGGAAATGCGAGCAAAGAAACTCTCGAACAACTGTTTAAATTGAAATGTTCCAATAGAATCATGAAAGCCAAGCAATTTTAAGTTGTATACTGTTTTTTTTTCAATTTATATGGAAATTCATCAAAGTCTTATTAAAGTAAAATCCTGTTATCAAGTAACTATAGAACTTGTAGCAAGTTCGTACTAATCTTAATAAGAAGCGCTTTAATTAATATTTTCATTTACTAAACATATATTAATTATTATTTAAACAAAGAAGATTCATAAATTTTATGGTAAAAAAGCATTAAAAATTTTTAATAAATAATGAAATGTTCAATTTGAATTAATAAAAAGTAATTTAATTAATATATATAATAAATAATGTAATTGGGCTAATGAATGAGTTGGAGCATGAAAAGTGCAAATTAATAAACATTTTCGTTCTATTTGAAATCTATTTAAAAATAAATTGAAATATATTTATTTAAATACAATGATTTAGAGATTTTAAATTTGTTTAAATATTCAGTTTTTTTTTATGAAATTTAATAATTCACTACAATTAAATCAAAATATTATAATGTATAATAATGTAATGTAATGTAAAATATATTAAATTTATTTTTTTTCAAAATTGACACAAATTATAAACAATACATATTCATTTCCTTTTATGCTGCTTATTTTTATTTGGTTTAATACTCCTCGATTAACCTGGTTATTAGTTCGGGCTATCGGCAATTAGGCCCACTATGCGAGGTATTACTGTTTTTTTACTAATTAAAATCTAGTATTTTTTTTGTTGTTAACTGAATTTCATGGAGAAAATTTGATTAAAACGAAAAATGTTATTTTTTCATTATACTGGAGATTGATTTAATTATACTTAATTAAATGAATAATTTATTAAATGAAACGTTTAGTTTAATGATAAAATTAATGTGTTTATTTTTGCTTAAGTTTGCATTAAATAATGTAATTAGGCGAATGAAATAATCGGAGGATGAAAGATACTATGAATATGCAAGAGATGCGTAAATATGTTTCGGTCAGTGAAAACATTAATATAACTTTCCAAAGTAATCTTGTTCGCAAACACTATATAGTTTTGCTTCTATACTCCCTTCTCCTGAAAACACAAACACTGTTCTGCGCTGAAACCCACTTGCCTTAATTATTTGCATCAGTCCGCGAAGTTACGCAGAAAGGTAATTCAAACATTTACATTATTTCGGAAATCGTCATTAATTTCACCCATTCGCACATCCATATAACATAGTAAGAGAAATATTTATGTTGACTCATTTCCAATTACCCAAGTCTCTTCCATTCATTCCTTAATGAAAGAAATGAACTTCTTTTTCGGCGAAGCGTGGAGGAGGCATTTGAGGTCGAAGAAGTTCCACTTCGCTTGGCCGGGACAATGGATGAAACCGAAGAAAAGGTGTGTATGTAAGAGAGAAAAGGGAAGAATCTCATCCACGAAGAAGGTAAAAAAGAGAACAACGTATGCGAGAAGAAGAAGTACAAGTTTCTTGTCATTCCAAGCTGCATGTTTTTCTTCTTTTTTTGTCAATGGCAGAGACTCGGTATTATTCACACTTTACGGGCTTCTTGCGGCGTTCGGGCCATTAATAAATGAGAAGAGATTGAGAAGAGAAGGAGAAAGCCACAACTTCCTGTCATAATTCACTTTTAATGGCGTCCCGATTTTACGGCGAACGGGGATGTACAATTAAAACTAATTTATTTGTCTTTGCTCTGGACGTGTTTCGGATTGTCCTCGAAATTAGCCGCTGCGTGAAATTGGAAGGAACCGAAACTGTTCTCGTACTTAACGTGTTTCCAGGTATATGACGCCCGCACACTGCGATATCCTTCTTCTCTTACGTAATTGCATCACTAATTCATTTCTCACACTACAAACAACATATCTACGCTACCTCTAAATTTGTTTGATACAAACAATGTTGACATTATTATACACAAATATATTACATTCAATCTATGGCAATACCTCCCATAGTGCTGGTAATTGATTTCGTCTATATCCCGCACAGTTTAAAACCGGATTAATTAAGGACTTTAGGTCCATATACAAATAAACAGCACAAAATATTTACAATTAGTAAAATAAGTAAGTTTATTCATAAATCAAAAATAATTAAAAATGCAATAATATTTATTAACTTCAATTTGAAACAAAAAGTAAAATACAGAAAACTATCGTTCAATGAAAATATTAACACTTTCAATTGATTAAAATCATCCATTTCTTAATTACTTATTAATATTACTTATTGAGTGAGTCTTGGAGTCATTGATTTTAATATTGGGTAAAGTAGACGAAACTTAAATTTCATGCAATATTTTTTTGTACAATTTAATCAAACCTAAATAATACTTAATTAAAATGGTATAATTTAACCTATACTTATTTAACCTGATTAATCAAAGTTAGCTAAATATAACCCAAGTGACTTAATATAATGTTTGTTTTTATAATACATAAAATAATGATATCTTACGGCTCCTTTAATATTACTTTATATTAATATGTCATTATTTTATATTTTCCTCCGAAAACTATTCGATTCCTAACTGTACATTTTTGGCTTCAATCGAGCCAGGACGATGCTTAAACGATAAAGAACCTTTGAACGCCGTTTCGTTTTCCTGCGTATGTATAAATATCTTTTATTTTTTATCCATCTCAGCCATATACATAAGCCCTTCAATCTCCGTTCATTTTACGATTCTTATTAGATAATAAGCGTTTTATATTTTTATATTAAGAAAGTTTCTCCGTCGTAAATTCTTCAATGCTCCCAGACAATGGAAAAGTTTTTAATCCTGAAACGCCGCTCGCGCCACGCACGGTAATCGCGCCAACCAAAGTATAAACTATATAGTATAGAATATAAGGGTGTAAAACAAAGCTATACGGTATTTAGAAGTGCAAGAAGAAGTAAAAAAAAGCAACAGCAACAAAAAATGTAATTGCCGAAGGATGAAGGAAAATGGAAAAAAACGAAACGCCGTTTCTTTTGGAGCTCATTTGGAGCAGTATTTCGAGCGAGGAGGGCAAAAAGAAATGCTTAATGGATAGAAACTGTTTAGGGAAGAAAAATAATGCGCATTGATGATGAAATTCGTTTCTCCATCCACCATTTTTTTTCTCTCTCCATGGATACCGTAACAAGGGGGGAATCCACTCGTCCTCGATACACGCGTATAAATGAATCCCCGAAATGTTTAGGGTATTCCCATGCAGTATTGATTTGCTCGCGAGGGGGTAATAAAGCATGCACTCCGGTGTCCGAGTTAGTTACTGTTGCTATGGAAATCGTTAGTTGGTGGGTAAGGAAGGTGTGTTAAATTAACGGTCGTAAAGTGAGTCGTTAACATTTGATTCAGGTGAGAAATCTCTTAGTGTCTGGAAGTTACAATAAACTATTTATAAAGTAGAACAAAACTTGTATAATTAAATAAAATAAGTTCAACTAACCTAAAGATGACGCTGAAACGTCTTTGACGTATTACGAAAGCGCCATCTATGAAATAAATTGTAACTTTTTTTTTGCGAGCCATCAAAATAAACTTCACGATAAGTTTCACGTATTTAGTACTTAAATTTTCGTATAAAATTGATTAGTTGAGAGTTTTAACAATGTAGTAGGAATTAAAATACTTCTTGAAAACTATCGATCCGCTCTTGGAGTTCTGTGAAATTAGGTATTCATTATTGGTACAGTCAGACGCAAATCATCCTTTCGTGTGCAAAAAAAAGAGCTAATTACAAAGTACGATGAAACAGCTAAATTTAATGAATGCATGCAGGAATATATAATGTATTGCGATTTATACGCTTTCGGTCCTCGACGATAATTCGCCGGCAA